CCCGCACAGGCCGCCGAGATTCTTCCTCTCTCTCTCTCTCTCCACCCCTGTGCACGCACGGAGAGATTCGGGCTTCGCCTAGCGGGGTTTTTTTTTTTTTTTTTTTTTTAATGAAGCTTCCGGGCGTTGGATTGCCCAACCCCCGAAAGCTGCAGCGCGTTAACGGCCGCAACTTCTGAGAAACACCGGAGAGGTACTGGTGCTTTAAAGATAGCACGTCTTCGCATGCACGACCCGCACTGCCAGTTTTGGTGAAAAGGGCCAGGGACCAAGGTCGGGCTCAACCAAAAGCTGGCTGCGATCAGCGTCGCAAAGATTCTGGAGCGGTGGTCCATGGACGTAAAGCAGCAGAACCAACGCTGATCATTGGGAGGGGGGTAGAGGGGCAGGCCGCCAGAGGTACAGGTGTGCCGGTGTGAAGCGGGGCCAACAGGCGGCACTGGTGGGTCCGTGCAGGGGCATGCCCGTAGACGTGCAGACATGAGAACGCTGCTATTCGCAGGTGCGCTACCCTGGTAAAGGTACACTGACGACGAGGGCTTTGTCACGGACAACGAGAGCACATCCGTGTAATTGTTAGCCACGTATCGGTGTCATCACTGACGACGAGCACATCCATGCGATTGCCAGCCGTGTACCGGTGTGAGGACGGGGAGGTGGAGAAAAGACATCCACATCAGGGGCCATCCGTGTGGTGTGGTAGTGGCCATGGCCTGTGCTCGACGACGTGGGGACAGAACGAGGGGAGGTGGAGAACGGACGCCATGTGATCACGAGAGGCCTGAGCCAAGTGCATGCACAGGTGTGCGAGTGGAATCACGCAATCACCTGTGGCCCGTGAGTTGTGACCCAATAGAAAAGAATATAGTGGTGCTGTTGAAAATAGAAGAAAGCAAACAGAGGGAAGATCCAGATATTGGCCGGAGATGGACAAGACAGGTCATGGGGAGTGTCGGCTGAATATAATCGCAAAGGTCGCCCGGCACGCCACGTATATCATGGTGTGAGCATGCTGAGGCATTTTTGAGCTGTGGTTGGCAAAGTTGCAATCACTACCTGCACAAATAGAATACCCGAATATTGACTTTCGGATCTCTCTCTCTCTCTCTCTCCACATCCCTTCACCAACGGTCCCAACTCCTCTCTCTTTTATATACAGACCCACATCCACACCCAATGGAGAAGAACATTGTGGTGGTATCCGGGGGGAAAAAATACATGGAAAAACGGGACAACAAAACAAACAGGGAAGATGCAGATAGCAGCATAGGAAGGGTTGGGGGAAGTCGCTATCGATCCACACTCTGATGTAGACACGAACGCTGACTGTGGGATCAATGCGAAGTGGCTATCTATCCGCATTCCAATGCGGAGGACGACACCGACTACGGGGTTAGATGCAAAGGATGACGCAGAAGGGACAAGGGAGGGACGACAATAGTAGGAGGGAGAACTGCAACGGTCAGAGAGAAGGGAGGCAGGAGGGAGGACTAGCAAAGGAGGTGGAGGGGGTAGGACGGAGGGGGCAAGAGGGAGGACTAACAAAGAGGTGGAGAGTAGAGGAGGTAGGAGGCAGGAGGGAGGACTAGCCAAGGAGGCAAAGGGGGAGGGAGAAGAAAAACAGCGGGAGGGAGACGACAGGACAGGTGGCTATCAACCCGCATTCAGATATGGAGGAGGAGGCTGCCTATGGAGGAAATGATCATCGATGCAGGATGCATGACTGATGAGGGAGGATGTACGGACTCTTGCATCACTGACGAAGGAGGATGGACGGGGGAGGAGAGGAGATAAGAACAACGACAATGCCCGCTCACCGTGGCACAATTGTCATCGTTCATGGCAAGGGAGGGTCAAGGGAGGGAGGGACGATAAAAAAGGAGGAAGGACTGAAACGGTCAGGGAGGGAGGGAAGGGAGGAGGGACGCAGGAGAGGGATAAACGGGCGAGGTGGAGGGAGGAGGAACACAGTGGGAGGGAGATGGACAGGACAGGTCGGGGGAACAACAGGGGAGGGGGGGACGGGGGAGGGAGGAGGGACGATGAAAGGAGGGGGGAGAACGGCAACCAGTAGGAGGACACAAGGGAAGAGTAGAGGATAGAGGAGGTGCGGGGAGGAGGGAGAAAACCAGTGGGAGGGAGTGCTGGCCAATCATGTCTCTCTCTCCCCCTCTTTCTCTGCATGAGATAAACGCTGCTTCTGCGCTCTGTTTTCTACCTTGGTTTTTAGGCCATACATGGTCACGGAAACTGTGTTCACCAGGCACTACCACGCCACCTTCGGTTTGGTTTGTCATCAACCTTTTTTTTTGTTTAAAGCCACCCTCTTACTCCCTGACCGTTGGAGTCCTCCCTCCTTTTATTCTACCTCCTGCCTCCCTCCTTTCTCCAACTCCCAAATCTTTAGCAAGCTATGGTGAAGAAATCTGACATATCGGTTATTATTTCCTTAGTTCTGCCCTTCCCAAGCAAGAGACACGTCATATTCACTGGGAAGACGACACATGTAACGGGCATCACTGCAAACCAACTATGGTCAAAACTCTCAACTACGGCCCAGTGTGCTTTAAACAGACATTGCTACAATTTGCACCACGTGTGGGAAGAACATTGACAGCAATAATAGAACATTAACAGCAATAATAGAAAGCCTGTAGACTGGGCTCTCACCAGCAACAAAACCTACCCCAGTCATAGTACCATGGCCCACCATCTCATTCCCTCCGATCGATCACTGACTTCATACTCATCCCACAACTAGCCAGTCACATTATCTTCCAGCCACTGCACACAAGATAAGGGTTGTCATCTTCACATTTTCGAAAGGTCACACATACGGTCAGCGAACACTCGTCCAGAGTACCAATCGCATTCCCATCCAGGGAACCTACTCCACATGTCAGTATCATCTGCCCAGCATAACCATAAACAAGTGGGTGCGATCACTGTGGATTGGTCATCACATTATAGTACCAACCGCGCGCACAACAGAGTGCAGGACTACGAAATAGGTCAAAGATACAGTCATCTGTCTGCTACTACATCATCTACCCATAACCACTGCATCGGGCAATATCTCCCCTCCTTCAAGCTCTCCCATAGCACTGTCAACTGTCTGTGATTGCATCATCTACCCACAACAATTTGCTAGGGCCAATATCTCCCCTCCCTGCCCGGTTCTCCCATAGCACCATCAACTGTCTGTGAGTGCATCATCTACCCATAACAATTTGCTAGGGCAATTGCAACATCTACCCATAACGACTGCATCGGGCAATATTTCCCCTCATTGACCGA